GAAGAGAGACTTCGATTAGCGGCGACTGATTATCACCTCCCATTAAGGCACGCTCTCACTTTATTATCGTCGTTAGCTGCGAAACTTGGAATCGCACACGGGCGCTCATGTTCGCCGGATCCCGGCGCCTCGCGCAAGTCTTACGTAGAACCTCGGACCAGTTGTTCACGTCCCTTTTAGAGCGTTCGTTGTTCTTTTTCTACGGTGATGGTGTGACGCGAACACGGCGTATCCCCAATGTTCTCAGAATTCACGTACGCGTCATAAATAGTGCTCTGCTCGTACTCCACCGTCTTCCGGTCTTTCTCTCCTTCGGCTTCTCGCGCGGACCGACGTTTTCCAATATTCCGAACTGCACTGATTCCATCTGGGGTCCCTCCGAATCGCCTCCGACGTCGCTGTTTTCTCTCCCCTGCCCCTACGCCGCTTCGTCGAGTCTCATGTATCGATCGTCGCGTGTGTATGAGTTCTTTTTTACGCTTTCAGGCTGCCTTACCCTGCCGCGGGTCGCGAATATTACGCAGATGTGACGATAATAAGTAACGTGAACGGTATTCCCGGATATGCCGCGAAACGCGATGCTGATATTCATGATAAATTTCGATCTTTTATTAAACTATTCACAAGTCAACCTTAAATTTATCCTCGACAGATCTGTAATAAAATACACTTTGTCGCATTGATAGTTGTACATTATTCTCTGCGTCTTCGCCAATTTCTGCGCTTGCCAATTTCCGATATACTTTCAAGTAGCCCCCAACTTTTCGCCATCATACGCCGCGCGATTTATCTGGCTTGCAATAATGTCTACTTAGAATAAACCATGCTGGTTTGCAGCTGCTTCGAACAGGGAGATCTAATTTCCGCGTCGACCTGCATATTCGTCCGCAGTGAATTATTCTTCCATGTTAAACGCGACAGCGGAGTCGACGCTTTCAAGAAGACCCACTCGAGAGATATCCCTCCGTCATACGAATCCATGCCGTTGAATGGAATTGGCGCCAAGCATTTTACGAGCGTGCGCGCGCAAGTCGGCATGGGACTGTTGTGCGTCGACCTTTACCTAACAACCCTCCCGCATCGTAGCCACCTCGCTTCCTCCTTGCTGCAACCACCGCGGCAGCCGCCCCCGTCGCCAACCCTGACCTGATTTATGAGATTCTGGAAGCGTCTACTCCACCGACGCGCGTATTCGGTCCCTCTCTCTTTCTCTCTCGTTCTGCTTCTCTTTCTCTCGCCTCTCTCTCTCTCTCTCTCGATCCTTCTTCCCCTTCTGTCCCCCTCGTAACGTAGACAGCTGGCTAGTGTTTCCACGAGCGCACGTACACCGAGACGCTCTCTCGCACGTGAAGCGGAGCAAGTGGAATCCTCGCTGCTGCGTTTCGTTCATTTCCGTTCCTTTGTCCGCGCGTACGCGAAAAGTGAAGACTTATTTCGCACTCGTGTCTCGCGATATGTATCGAGGGCGGCGTCCTAATTAGTCGAGTGACAGGCTTTCGATTGCGCACACCAGATACGGTTGTCCCGGCGTCTTATCAAGTCGCGTTAGTCAAAACGTGCCGGGCGCACGCAGTTGTCTCTCATTGTCAGCCGGAAACTGTGGCGTCATCCTCTTCGCTCTCACCTGTTTACAAAGCGTCGTTATTATTCTCTTGTCTGTTTCGGCAGTTTGAAAAATTCGTTGTATTGATAAACGAAATCACGGAACGTTTTTAAAACGCTGCTACAGTATTAACGTAATGCAATTTGCGAAGTTTGGAGAACGCGCTGCTGCGCGACGGCGCTCATTGTTCGACGTTTGACGAGACGGCGCACATAATCTACTTCACATTCGTAAAAACATTCGCGTCTTCGCAGCGAGCGCAAACTTCGATCCGACGTTAGTTTTTGACGCAATTAAAGCGACGTCGGGGTCCGAATGGACTTTTCACTCGCGAAAGATTAAACTTGCTCTTTCGCCTTCGATGGGCGTCATTCATCGAGCAAGGCGAAATTCCATGGCGACGAAAAATCCAATTTTTAGAACAATCCCCCTCGCGTACGGGCACACTGACGTTTAGCAGGAATCTCTTCGTCAACAAGTAAATTTTCTTTACCCCGGGAAAGAAAAAAAATTCGAGCGAGGGTTGGATGTCACACAAAAGCCGAGTGATTTGTGACGTTCGCCATTCTTTTGACCGTGCGGCAAGGTTCGCCCTCTCTACATTCCCCCCTCCCCCCTTCCCCGCCTCGCCCCCTTCCCTTCTTCGCCGTCTTGCTCGTAGATATGGCCGAGTAATATACGAGCCCTGCATCTGTTCCCCGAGTGACGCAACGTCCCGCCATAGATCACACCCAGGCTTTTAGAGAGTGAAGGCTGTTAAGGAGAGCGCGCGAGAGAGAGAGAGAGCGAGAACGGTCGGGAAAAGGAGATACAACGAGACGCCACGAGGAGAGAAGAAAGAGAGGGCGAGAGTGAGATTGAGGGAGGAAGAGGGAGGGAAAGAGTGACAGGGTGACGTACTGTTACTGTTAAACTCGCCTGCACGTAAAGAAGAGCATGAGCAGGAGTGCGGCTGCCTCTCCAGCGTGTCGTGGCGCGAAGGGGCTGAGGGGGAGTGTGAGGCAGAAGTGGTTGCTGGTGGAAGACCGTGGAAGGTGGACGGAGACGTCGGTGTTGTTGTAAAGGGACGTAGCAGGCTAGGATCGTGGATCAGGGAGACGAATGTAGTGTGTTCCTAAAAACGTGCACTTAGTTGAAAGTCATTAATGCGATCGTACTGGCGATTGTATTTTGAATTGATCGCCCTGGTGCGATGGAGAAAAATGTTAAAACGCTCCACCGCGATCCAAGCTATCCTATTTCAAGATATATAACGCAGTCAGCAGAACGTCCAATTTAATGTTCAAGTAGTTTCCACTTTTTTGCTAAGCATTTCCAAAATTTAATATGAGAGATATTCAGATATATTATTATGGAATAGGAAGTAGGGAGGAATTATAAATTACGTCTTGCATTTTTAATATTAACAGATCACCTATAATAGATATAATTATAAAATTATTATTCTCACGTCTAATTTTATGTCTGCTCCATATTTATTTTCAAGATTTTGTACATTTTCGAGATTTATGCACTCACCTGCTCTTAATTTACAAGTTTCAATCACAGTTGTGACAGTTGTTTTGTGATATCCATTAATATTTATAAACGAAACCCCATTTAAGATATATCTACAGAAAATAATTGTAGTCAACGCAGGATATGTCAGAGAGGTCGTTAAGACAATCACGCGAAAAAGATATCATCCAATAATTCTTTCAAATGTCAGATTGGAGGGTCGTTAACGTAACATCGTCGAAAGCGAAGCGGGGAAACTCGCTTATTCGGGTTACGTAACGAGCAATAATCCGGAGAAGGCCGGGATATAGTAGCTCGATTCGCATCTCACCGGTCAAAGAATGTTACGGTAAATCGGTAAGATGCCGGTCGAGCGATATATTGCCCGAATATATGGGTTAAGAAATTTCCTTGGCCTGAAGGGTCGAGAATGGGCGTAGAGGGTGGCAAGGGTTTTTAGACGAAGGAGACGAGCGGAGGCGGGGGGGGGGGGGGAAGACAGAAAAGTGAAGCAGGGCGACGGCGACGGTGGCACGATACAGTACGCCCCTGGCGCACCGACGTAGAAACCATTGAGGCGAGATATACGAGCGAGAGTTTGTTTGCGCTTATGGCCTACGTCTGGAAAAGGGAAGGTAGGCAGGGGGGAGACGGGGAGTTGGCGTTTTATCGGGGCACCCTTATGCCTATTATGCCTTCGCGCCCCGCTCCGTCACGCCGTGCAGAAACCCCGCGCTCGCCTCCCCCCTGCTTCCCCGCACCTTCCCTCTTTCTCCGGTCCCCGTTCGGCAACCCCCCCAGTCGGTTGGGTGACGCGGCGTGCGAATTAAAACGCCTCATAAATATCTGAAACAAAGGCGGCCGCTTTCGAGGGCGTACGCCGGAAAGATATACGGCTGGTTACGATGGTCGGTACTGGGTGGTTAAGGGACGGGGGGGCGGAGGAGGGGTGAGGGGGTGAGCTGCGGGACGCGATCCTAGGTTTGGCACCCTTCGTAAAAACCCGTCGAGCAGGGTGGCTCACCACCTCCCGGAGAATCACGAGAGCATCGCGTCGATTGGGAAATTCACCGTGAAAAAGCGTGGATTTTCTTAGGAGGCTATCAACGTTTGCCGGGCGATATATCACTCATTCAATATCAGCTGTCTTAAAAGTTGCATGCTTTTTTTTCTATATATACTAGAAGTTAAACTAAGAAGAATGGTGGTTATATAATATTAAAGTGTCAATAGTTTCTTAATAATAATCGTTGAAAAAATTGAAAGTTTCAGGAAAGTAGTTTCAGTTTGGAGTTTGTGATTTAAATTTTTTAAAATGCATTAATATATATGTTAATATATGTACAATGTTAATATACGACACAATTAAGGAAATATAAGATAAATTACGACGACATGCGGTAAATTTATCGATGGGATTTCGGACTGACATTAGCTGACAAGAAACAGTTTTTTACGACAGCCTGAGACCAGGTAGACAGCAGTATTGAAATACATAAGATTTATCGTGTTTGTGATTTTGTGTATTGTTTTGAGCTGTGTAAATCCGATTTTGACTGCGCAACATTTTTGCGCGTCATAAGATATCTCGGGTAACAGGACACTGCAGAGATGATTGACTTATAGCCGGCCCACCTAAGTTTTTTTATTGTTTTCGTTTCCTTGCTCGTTTATGGCTCCTGTTTCTTCTCTTTTTCTAGTTTTACATTGTGTCCTCACAAAAGAACGGCCGGGAAAGTTTCAAAAATTTAGACGACACTTTATGTTAATGTCTAGTCATAAATCGATGCCTAGTTGTCAGAATCTGATTATTCGATCACCGAGACGTTGCGTAATCTTTACCAAGAAGCATAACTTAAAGATGCGAGATTTTGACTGTTCTATCTTGTTTCTCTTTCAGGTAAGTAGTGGTCTCCGATCGTTTGAAAAGCGAGCGGCTCGGAGCCGCCGCACCGGACGGGAGATATGCGCAGCAAGCAGCAGCCCAGGCCTTCTTTCCGATGGCCGCAGCAGCGCGGTGATAACCTTACCGGTAAATATCCATATGTAACATCTCACGCACGCACGCACGCACGCACGCGCACGCACGTATTTTATTCTTTATTTTGCATCCTGTACTTCTCACGTCCCGACGAGATACCGCTTCTCTTCGCGTGCCGCGTAGCGGTATACCGCTCGCTCGGGAAAGAAGCGAGATCGATCGGCGATTAACCGATGCCGCACTCGTAGCCACTTGGAAATATTAGTTTAGACGATTCGATGCTTGTTTTTGCAAGACACACGGTTTCACAATTGTAGAATTTTTTAAAAATTAACTGGAATCTTCTTTTCCTCTGCTATTTTTTTTCGTGCACTGTAGTATTAGGTGTCCAAGTGAGACGTACCTGAATATCTTCTGAATCATGTTTGAATTATATTTTATTTCGAAAGTGTCAAGTTGATTGGGTATTCACTTTTTTACGGATAAGATAAAAAATAATAACATAATGGGATGGGATCCAGATATTCAATAATCTCGAAGATCGTGGATGAGTTCGTGTAATGCTATAAATACCGGGAAACATGTACATGTTGCGTCTCATTAACCGATTATTGTCGACCGGTCTGGCCTAGCCATAAATTGGATATTTACGACGGTTATAAGCGAATAACAGAGCAAAAGCGATCGGTAACGTGCGGGGGGGATCGATAAGCGCGACCAAGTGTTATAAATGACATTCTGGACGAACAGATATCGACTGAGGTTTGCTCATATGTCCTTCGATCGGACTATACTTCACGATTGTGATGTTCTTAAGTAACGTTCGATCTATTACCTTGAAAAGAACTCGGTAAATCATGATTTCTGTCTCTCATTTTCCTCTCGATTTATGTCTCCACATCAGAACGCGGTATCGTTTCTTGGAAACGCGTAACGTTTATTACCGCATTCCTGACCAACAGGTAATATGATTAATTAGTGTCGATTAAGTTGAAAAAGATGTAAAAATTATAATACATGTATTGGAGGTATACAGTGCGTCACTCTCAAATTGTTAACACGACTTTCAACTCGGATTCGCATTGCATGAAACGACATCTCATCGTACGACGGCCATTATATTCCGTTACGTATGCTATCAAAAGTGAACTTCACTGTACGATTCACAAATTTACATTTGCGATTTATTCTTCGATGCTGTTAAGAGACAACGATTTGCACCTTTCTGTCGATTCTACTGAATGACATAGACACGACGTAAGTTTACCATCGCGATCTCCTCTTTTGTCATCTTACACCATCTTGGCATACAGGTCTACGTTATATGATTATTAAAGCGTTAATATTATAGTGTTTAAAAAAAATACCGGTGCGCAGCTGCTACACCCGATCGTATGATAGATATCTGCTAACATATCCTGCCGCTCTTCTTTTTGTATCAGTTTTGTGAGCCTATAACGGAAGATATTCTATTTCGCTCTTTCCTGTACGTCACAATATAGAAGTAATTAAGGAGATAAGAAATCCTGATATATGACATGCAATGAGCGGGTTTTATCATAAACGAATATATAAAGTAAAAATAAATAATGAATATTATTAAATATATCATAATAATCTGACTTAGAAATAAAACAGAATTTTCCTGCAAAGAGCAAAATATAATAAATCAGTTAATCTTAATAAATTTACGAAGAAAACGGTAATGCACACATGCACACTTTAATCGTTTCCATTGATTTGTATTGATGATTTCGTATCAATAATAAATATTAATAATATAATTTCTCTTGTCTCTTCACACATATTTGCATAGTTTTTGTAATTTTTGTAAATGTATGTTTGTACGTATACGATTTCATTGACAATTGTGTAGTATGATGAGTATTATATAAACAATCAAATGGAAGAGTATAGCAAATCGAACAACGAGCTCAAATTCGACAGGAATAATTGCGCGAGTTGAAGAACAGGGCAAACGGAGCAACTGGTTGAACTCTTTTTACTTGCAAATTCGATGTAACTTGTACCGTGCATACGCGCGAAAGTCATTCGCTTTACAGTGCCAGAATTCCTGCGATGGGAAAGTAATTAACGAGACAGGAGAAACTAATAAATCGAACGATAAATCGAAAGCGGCATTGTGTAACCGGCCGCCCAAAGGTAAAGACAATTCAAACTGAGCAACTGGTTGACTCGTCTCACTTGCAAATCCAACGTGACGCCGTAACTCATTACGTCGCCTGAACGTCGTCTCGAAATGGAGCCGCAAAGCGATAACCGGGCAACTTTTCTCGACCTATCTGAAACGCGTAATCAGCTCCGATTTCTCGGATCGTAGACCTTGCCGGAAATCCGTGTGTTATTGCGAGCTGGTTCGCAGCGAACTGCACATTCGTATAATGTGTTAAGAACTTCACGAGTCTATGTCCAATTAAATTCCTAATAAAAAGAACGTTGAGATATTTATATCAAATATTTAAAAAGCTGCGATCAAAAAAATATTAATGGAAAATATATATCTGTGATATATGTTTTTTTAATAAAAATATTTGATTATATTTATTTCTTATACGTAACATACTTTTGCGATAATATCTCTAATGCTGGCAATAATATTGTTTCGAGCATATCACGTTTCTGCGATTGTTAATATTTTCAGGTAACTAATGTTACTCGTGAAACATTCATATATCTGTAAAGTGTATAATAGTGAGAACGCCTGTTTGTCCTAAATCCATTACCGGGACGCTCTCGTATCATTCTTCTACGTCGTCCAGTTAATTACTTATAATATGATATTACGTGGTAAATAAATCTCGCGTTTAATAAATTCATGTTGAAAGCTCGCGTGATATAATACGCTACGGATTGTCCACGTGGAGACTTCTTATATTTTTTACGAAGAATTTTGGCGCCAGCTGAAGAGATAAAACTCGGTTGTTTTCATTCTTATACATATTTATACGGAATACATATCTATAAGACATATCTCATTCGGCGGTGCATACTGTTCGCTTTACGATCACTGTCGCATTTTGGTGTATTTGTTGCTGACTCCGCAGAAGTTCGACGTCTTTGGACGTCGCCAGATTCGAAGAGATTTAGTTGCAACAGTGTCTTCGAAAGTTGGTCGACTTCCTTTGCCGGATATAATCTCGACTAATGTACCTCGTAGTTGGACTCTTTGTAAATGCAGCTCACGAAGAAATTCTCCGCGGACGAACTTCGTAAAGAGATTCTCTCCGCAGTCGCTTTTGAAAAGGATGTTCATCGTAGATTTTCGCTTAATGAAAATATCGTTGTCGTTGGTACGCGATGGCAATCGGTCGGCGGAGATATAACTGAAGAAATATTTACGTGTCGTCGAAAGTTCGCTGGCAATTAAGGATAAATCATAGCCCTAATGGGATTTTCATGATCTGAACCGTATTAATTGAAATTCACAAATTCGAGAAACGATAATAATCGCACGGAGCTTCGTAGTACTTGTGTTATTGCGTAATACATTTGCGCGGCATACTTAATTCTTGATATGAAGTTCTTGATCCCTTTACCGAGCAAAACAACATCTGCGCGAAATTATTTTTGTAAGAATATATATGTTTTCAAGAGTAACAGCTTTTAACTTTCTCCGATCAAATTGCGACTCGTAATATTATTCTCGCCGCAATGTGTTCTTCTCGTTGTCTTTTTATTTTCGTTCTCGGCTCGACTTGATATTATAATTATTTCGCGTCCGTAACGGAGTAACGCTTTTAAGGAACGCGTCGAACGCGACGTATTTAGAATAATAATAAATATCGTGAAATAAGTATTAAAATGAAACGGGCACCGAGGAATTTACGAGGCTCCCTTTGGATCCCACGGCATCCCGATGCGTGCGCATTTAATGGTTAGTAATTTCGCGGAGGGCCGTCGTCGTAAAAATGCGTCTCACAGCAGAAAATTAACGTGTTTTAATCAGCGAAATACATCAGGAGGTACTTGAAAAGGCCACTCGTGCCCGGCCGTGCGTCTCGTAGTCAAGATACAACCGTCGTGTCGACGACGGCAATAAATTTCGCGCGAAACGTGTCATCGTAGTCGCTCCGATAAAAATTACAAGGACACGATTGGTCGGTTCGGTAACAGCGCCGATCTCGTTCCAAGTATACCACGACCCCGTCGCGCGCATATCCTCGTCCGCGTCCGCGTTCTAGCGATAACGATGCAGATGCACCTGCCTGGCATCGTGTGGGCACGCTTTGCGTAGGTACGATGCATGCAACGGCGCTCCGTGAAAATTAGCGGTGCAGGCCGGGATTTATTGCCGCGTGTGTGCTCTCGTCCGGCTCTCATCGCCTGGAAAAAAAATATACGGCAGCCGTGTTCATCGCTCGATTATGGTACATTTACCGAGCGCGGAAATTCCTCTTTGCTATCGCACTGCGACCGATTGGGGTTATCAGTCATCAGCTTGGTACCGGAATACGAGCCTTTTTCCTGTAGCTTTTGGCAGAAAAAAAATGCGCTAGCCTCTGCAATACTTGGGGAAAGTAGTTTTACTTGTCATTTAATGTTTCTCAGAATTCGTAATTTAAATTACATTTTGTATACAATGTAATAATAATTATTTTACATGAACGAACTCATGTAAGGGTAATTTTAATATCCTTTTTTCAATTTTCTGAAAACATCTTGGAATTTTATAAGAATCCTCACCATGTTGGTTGTTGTAAAATGAGATGTTTAATAATGCGTTTTATGACAAGGCTATGTACATACATCATTTAATCATATCTTTATTTGACAATTAGGAAAATACAATTTCATTTTTTTTTCTCATGTCACATTGAAGTAAAGATAAATTAACATGAAACCGCAGCTAAGGTTTTCTCGGGAAATCGCTGTCAATCCGGTACGATAATTTATATTTCCGTTGATGTAAATCTTTCTACTTGACAGCTGCGGGCCCAACGTAAGCATATCCAAGTGGTGCAGCCGCGCTTTCACTTTACAGAAGGCCCATTAATTCTAATTTCGCGTCATTGATGGTGATTTTATACTCC